TGGTGGTAACACAACCCCATGGTCGCTCCAAGCGAATCTCATACCCCCGGGAGTCATCCCTCAATTTCCACCCTTCCGCAACCAGCTCTATATTCCCTTCTTCCTCACAGACTCACGCAGGAAGACCGCGCTACGTGCTCCTTTAAGAAGCACTGTTGTCTTAAATACGTGACAAGAGCGAAACACCCGTCTGGTAAATTTCAGTCCTATACTATGTATCGCAGGGTATATATACGTTTTAATGAAATATAAAAATACGAAGAAAAACAAACAAAACGCGCGTGGCTATTACGTCACAAACGATAAAAATAAACGACAAACAAAAAACTTGGTGGATGCGAAATTTTACTTTCAATAATTTTTCTTCTCTTTCTTTTCACATTAATCTCGGTTTCCGCGAGAGCTGCAGAAATACATCCGGAAACACATCCCAAGGGATTCAAAGAGATTTCGACCAGTGTACGTTATTCAGTGGGGATTGTCGCGGTCAGAAATCACCTCAGCCCCCCCCCGACCCCTCTGCATCCAGCCCCTCGTCAGGTCGCTTGCATCCGTGGAAATAGAGACAAAAGGGGTGCGCATGGCTGAGGATTCGCGAAAAGCTGAAAAGAGACGATTGTTCCACAACTGAAAAGTTTTGCATGGCCGGCGCGGCAGTTTAAGTTTTCGACCGAAGTTATAACGAGAATTGCTCGACGTGAAGTTCCGACGAAGTTTCACATAGATATACGTCTTACTACTTCTCTTACCTTAGATTTCTTTCTTCCCACTATTTTTGCTCATCCCCCTCCTATTTTTTTGTACCTCTACCATTTTCCACCCTCCAGCCTCGACGGACTATCCGCGTTTTCTCACGTATGCGGCCACGGAATGTTAACGTCACATGCTCGCCGACCCCTCCGCCCCACGTAAACCCCATAACTATACATACGCGTATACTGCATATTTTTTCCAACGCTATACCAGCAGTCGCTCGGTATTCGTGCGATGAGAATAAAATGTCGGCATATTTCAGACTTATTGCCCGACGCTGGTACTCTCTACTTTTATTGTAGCCAGTTTCATTCTTTTCGCGGTTTTATGGTATTACCATGGTATTACACGCGTTTCGATGTTCCACGCTAAGCTCTGCGTATGTATAGGCGTACCACGTGTATCTCTTTCTATGTGAGTATTCGCATTAGCTACGTTGCAGCGTGAGCTACGCATAATGTTATGTCCCGTTTTCATGGGAGTTTCACAGAATGTTAGCACTGATGGACTAAAACGTGTTTCGGATGTGTAGAGTATCGCGAGCAGCATGAAGTTTCTTTAGGAAATTCGAAGTAAAGGAAAATAGGGAGACGTCTCACTGTAACGACTATAAACATCGTACAGAGCATGGGAAGTTAGAATACAGAGACAAAGTGAAACTGTGGTAGTTGAAGGAAGGGGGTCCAGTGGGTCGAATGAGCGGGTTAATTTGCACCGAGTTTAACGCTGCTTCTTCTTAATGCATTCTATAGGAATAACAAACCTTGTGAAAGGATAAGCAGCGCGGAGTATAGAAGTAAACCTAAGATAACTTTATATCAGCTGTATGCGTGGAGGAGTCGGGGACTAAAAGAGCGAGAGAGAGAGAGAGAGAGAGAGAGAGAGAGAGAGAGACTCTACTCTCCTTCCGCATAATCACTTTCCGAGGAAGAAAGAAAGGTTACGTTAGTTGTGCTCCAGCGAATCTTATTTAGCCTCGTTATCCTGAAGCGAGTATCGTTCCCAGCGTCAATCTCATCCCTTAACTATGGAACGATGAACGAACTTTATTTCTCCCGAGAGGAGTATAAACGCATCTTGTACCTTTTTTTTCTAAAAAAAAAAAATAATTAAAAAAAAGAAATACGTTTCTCAATTTGCTGCAGCCCATATAGCTAGTTGAACGACGAATGGGGGAGTATAATCCCATGCGGGAGATGGATCGTTGGATGTTGTTAAAAAAGATACCCCTAATGCTGCTGGTATCGTATATACTAAAGAAAAAAAATATAGGGCGATAATTTGATAAAATTGATTAGAAATTAAATCGAGAGATGGAAGTGTCAAGATACTGTGTCTCTCCTTAGTGCGGGATAGACGGGACCTTGTCTCTATTTTGATTATATCCAACTGGTGACATCTTGAGATTCGTTCTCACTGTCGCGAAAAGGGGTAAACAAAGTTATCTGAAATGACAACGGGGTACGTAGGATCGTCGTTAAGTTAACGCCCTGGCAGTAACCGTGCGGCCGGCGTTGGATTTTATAACGCGGCAGATGGAAGTAGCTCGGAGGAGCCTGGAAGAATCGTATAGCCAAGCGTCGGAACGGTTGCCGTAGAGTTGGCAGGACTAGATGGTGCTTGGAGCAGCTAAACCCAAGATGTAGGTATACGCTTCGTTCTCCAACGTAATGCCCGTGAAATTGTCTCCTTAACACGTTGAATTCTGAGACGGAATATAGTGTGCTAGTACGAACCCATAAGAGATACCTACATGTTGATATGCTGGAGGTATTTTTTTTTACGAATAAAAATACTTTTTTGCAAAGAATTGTTGAATATAATTGCACCGGTGATATATGAGACGAGTGGCTATTAAATATAATTGTAATATTACATGAAATTATTTGACGCGAGTGTCAATTTAGAGAGAATTCGTATATGGGTAAATATTTCAATTTTATGAAGTATGATAGAAGAGCAATTTTCGAATTGCTTATACTGGTATACGTTAGGTAAATACGACATGAAATACAGGAGAAGGAAAGAAGGATGGTATTATTATTATTATATACATAAAGGGACTAAATACTAGAGTGGTTATATTAGGATGAAAAGTGTATGAATTATTTCGGGAAAGCTAATACATTTTATTTGCACTACGAAATTTGAAGTGCTGACCGTTCGTTATATAACCACTTCATAATTTCATCGGGCTACATGAATAACTACTTTCAGTAAAGTACATGTGATTTTCACTGGAAGTATCATTGAAAATAATATAATGAGCCGTTTCGGGATAAGCAGTAGCATGGGATTGAATACCACCTATATGCATACGTTTTTATTTCGCTAAGTGATGGAGACAATCAATAAAGCAGGAATTTCAAATGTTTCTATATGAGCGACTCAGCGATGCGCACTGATAGGCGTACCAATACGTAGATTAATACAGATTCATATACGTATCATACGTATATATATATATGTATAGTAAATTTCTAAAAACCAGAGGTGTTTCGTTAACACGCGATAGAGATTAACGTATGTTGCCTTTGTAAGGGAAATTGCGGACGGTACGCAGACGGCAACACTGTAACTCGTAGAACGCAAGGTGGCATTTGCCCGCGCATTTCTCTCACACAAACGACCCTCTTAATCAATCGGCAGCACCTTTATCAATCCTGCGAAACCCCCCCGGGTGGGGTCTCAAGCACCCTACACCATCGTGGCCCTCACCCACTCACCCACTCACCCAGCCCAACCAGCCCAACCAGCCCAACCAGCCCAACCAGCCCAACCAGCCCTTCAGTATCCATCCCTCTCTTGGAAACTAAAGCCTAAAGCCGTCGTAACAAGCCGCAACTTCAATAAATCTTTCTCTGGGGCATTCGGCGCGTTGTGTAGTAATGGAATGAGTAATGAAGATCGCATTGATGTGTAAGCGTAAGTAGGGAAGAAGTGTGAGAGCCACAGGAAGGGGCACACACCCCTAGTAAAATTCATCCTGAAAGAAAGTTCAATAGGACGAAGAGAAATTATTTTACAGGAGGAAAAAGGGAAAATTGATTTTTCAAAATTTCTAAATTACCCTCGCTATATTGTGATTCAATGACGAAAGTCAAGATTGTTGTTGTTTAGATGTAAGATGTTCTGTTCTTTTAGGGTGGAACGAGAATTTTTTTTAGGTTATAAAAGGTAATTCAGCGTACGTGGCATAAAGATGGTTAATGGATTTTTGATACAGGAAAATAAGAATTTTTTTTTATCTGTTATTTCACGGGTAATGACTTTGTCAGTAAAAAATGGAGCATAACATAATTTTCGTAATAAAACTAGTTAAGCATATTGATAAGTAGCGGGAATCGATAATCACGAGCATTTATATCGGCTGTCATGGCAGACAAATGTATTTCTCTGTTCACGGAGAGAAATAGAGTTTCACTGTATATCATGTGATACCCGTCTCTCGTAATGATCCAAAAATATACATATATATTCATGCATTATACATATGACTATAAATACTCGTCAGCACGTGAATTATCGCTACAAACTTCGTGTGTCTTTAACACTGTCCTACAAGTTCGTGGATTCAGTGCTCAGATTTCGTGCTTTTTATACCCGAAACTGGAAACCTCATTTTACTCTGTGTACTAATACAATGTGGGTTCTTTATCAATTTTATCAGACAAGGTACGGTACTTCGTTATATATATATATATATACATATATAGACAGAGCTTCTCACACACGGACTTACAGAAGGAGAGCTCCTACCCGCTCGATACAACATAATTTAATAACGCGAAGGCAAATCCTAAAGGAGTTATACGGCATTAAGCCATCCGAAAATAAATCACGCGTAATCTGCTGATCTCATGCTTCGAAGTATGGGGATTAATTGCGATCCGAAAAATAGTGAGGATCATCCCCATTATAATAAATTCACAAGTGATGTCGGAACCGCGATGTAGATCCGCGACAATTTATGCACTCCTTAAGCTAATTATTTATTACGGCTGGGAGCTTCGAAATTTTCTACTAGTTGAAGTAAGTGATAAACTGTATATAGATATACACGTATAACCCGGTCATGATTTTCAATCTAACCTAATTTATCCTGAATACAAGTACGTATACCTATGGTATGTACGTAGTCAAATGTTAACTTTGAATGATTATATTTTGTTTATTGAAAGGGAAATGACAAAATTATATTGAAAAATCTATTTGGATGATATTTAAAAATAATATTTCGAGTGTACCTGTGCCAGCCGCCCCTAGCCTCAGGACAGCGTCGCCTTGCAGTGAGATGGAGAGGGTGGCGGTGTCCTCGAGGCGCGCAAGGACCTCTTCGGGGATGTCCTCAGGTTCGCGGAGGCGGAGGGTGACCTCTCCTCCGCCTCCGCCACTTTGGCCACCCCCACCCCCTGGACTCGTCGACGCCGAATACATGAACACAGATCCGTATCCATGCAGCGACTGCAATGGCAGCCTCACGCCGCCCACCTCCCCGACCGGACCCTGAAAAACCACAAGGACCAAAAGGATGAACTTCGGGCCTCGTATAATTTGACCATTAACTTTATATTAGGCTACCGTTACGTTGTAGAATGGCATCACATATATAGGATATATATTTAAATATATATATAAGGGCTATCAAGAGACGGTGACGTCATGCAAACACATTCATCGGGTCCCATGAAACACTTAGGAATAAAAGATGGCGGATTATGTAAGAGAAAAGAAATGAAATGCCTGTTACTCTTTATTTCAAGTCTCTTTGTTCCAGTGGAAAAGATGGTACAGGGAAAATTTAATTTTTCTTTTACTGCGATTAATTTAATACAGGTTATTTTAAATTTAAGCTGGAGTTTTTTTCTGGGTCATCCCAGTTCCTCCGGAATTGCCTTGCTCTAGTGTCGTTCTTATATTTTTTTTTTTTTTTCAGTGGAGCTCATACTCCATTCTGATTCATCTCCCTCCCAAAAAGCTTATCAGAGACTGTTACATTGTAGACTAGTCGAGGCTAATTTCCGATTTTTCAATATTTTGGTAATTTGTATTTAAAAAATTTTTTTTACACTGTCATTAACCTCGAGAGTGACATCATTTCGCAAAGTCTCTTGAAACAGATCGATCTATACATTTTCCAATTTATTCAACGTCCCGTTTCTCTTTTTAATTTATGTATCATTTCGGGGAAAGGAACAAATTTATTGACTATTTATGCACATACGACGAATCTTTATTCGCGTAGATTCTTATTCCGCTTAGCAATATCGACTTCCCTTGGATAAATTGTATCCTGCAGGGTGGCACAAAGTCATGCACGGGGGGATCGAACGAGAGGATCTTACAAGATGAAAGTAGTAAAAACCATTTTAAAAGAAAGAAAACGGTAAAAGCTCCTAGCTGCCATACGCGTTACGAGAGGAGAAACAATATGATTTATTGATTTGAAGAACTGATCCTTGGAAAACAAGTGAAGCGAAAACAAGTAAAATAGACGAAAGCCGAGAAACGACAAGTCAGCTAGAAACAGACAAAGAAGTTAGACAAGAGTATTGTAAAGTATGACGAAATATAAGAGGATATCGAACGATACAAGCAGACAGAGCATAGATTTGAATTGGCAAGGTAATAAAAAATCCAGCAACCCCATCAATCGTTAATAAACGGGTTGAAATATCGTGAAAATCCATAATACCGATATTTTCACGTAACACATAAAATCGGACAATACGCGATCGCTATCGCGTCACGAGTATAACGATTGTCACAATAATAAATCTGTATCGTCATACAGCTAAAATAAGGAAGCACAGATGACGCGCGTCACGGCGTCTGCTATAAATTCGCGCCACCATAAATTACGTGGCCGTCGAGCGAACCTCTCTCTTCCAGAGAGACGCGCCTGGTTCCTACAGTTCCGAGGTACATAAATGGCGAGCGTCGTTAACAGCGAGCTGGGTGTGAAAAAAGAAAAATAGGGGAAGAAAAAGGGAAAACGGTCAGTTGCCGGAGAAGGGTGGGAAAGAGGCACCGGTGCTGTGGGTAGTTCGAGTGGTTAATGCGACAGTACTTAGAGCCGGGACGCCATGTTTCAACGGCGCATTTGGTCGTTGGGAACCAACAGTCCTGTTCCATTATTTACCTAAATTGATTCGTACGGCGGACTATTTCCGCGTCACGTATTTACAGGTATTGGACGGCAAAGCGGGAGGCACGCACTGTGCGATCGGAGTAATTTATTTTAATGATCATTTTCGTAATGGCCTTTTGAACATGGGACAGCCTGAATAGACCGCGTCCCTATCACCCTATATGCAAGCTCATAGAAAACGCACGGTAATAGAGCCTAACGAAAATGGCACCAATGCTATCACAGACAAATTTACCAATTTTGTGCATACGTTACTAATATGCGTATAATACATCAGAAACTTCGTATCGCATCGAGCTGCATCACCGTGACAACAAATTAACCGTTACGAATTTCAAGTTGCTTATGTATTTCTTAATAAAAATTTAATCTCCTACGACTTCGTGTACTCGATCGATTAACTGATAGAACAGTATTACTCATTTTGAATCAGGTCACACGAGTAGCTTTTACGTTGTATCCTACTACGAGAAGTAATGTCAAACATGCGGAGTATAGGAAGTAAATTATATTTTTTCGACTTTTTCGAAACCCCCGTAATCGCCGATAAGCAAAGAAACCAGAAACGCATTAGGGACGTCGATTTCACTTTGACTAGATTTTCTAGCACGAGGCTTGTTCACTGAAATTGTTCTCGGGTAGAGTGTCTGTCGGCCTTTTATGAAGGAATGTTTGATTTCCCTAGTGTAACTCACGCTATCGGGTGCCTAATGGTAATGGCACAATCGACTATCGGTTGGGTTACTCTTTGCTAATTCGTAACTATACTACTTCCTAGGCGTTCCAGATCGGCTGTCCATTTGCCTTCCGTTCGATACCTTCGGAAGGTGTACGTAGCGCCAACGTACGCTCCGATTTCAGCAGCTCATGGGAAATGTACATTAACGAGAATACATTACCAAGTTAGTATAAGGGAT